ATGATCATTTTAACAAATCCAGACCTTTTAAAGTTTCTGTTTGAATTTCTGGGATAAGGAATTATCATTATATATATTTACACTATTTATATGTGGATTATTATCCTTACTATCATGTTTTATCTGTTGTACCCTCCAGACTTCATCTGGTGTACACTGATCTGGATAACCTACAGAGAATTCAAAACTGAAACGTTTATTTAATCCACAAGGGTAGACTGTTCTCATTCCACTCCCTGTAACTCAGGATATCCCCTCTGGTTTTTATTTTTAGTACTGCTTAGTTGTTGGTTACCCTGAGTCCAAGTACACACTACCTGACCCAGAGATTAAACTTACAAATTACAATGTCACCAAATTAATGAACCAAAACTTAAAGCAGAGTTAAAGCATTAGAAAAGAGTCTACTCCCATAGATTTAATAAAGTGTTCAGTTGCGAATTTAATGTAAGTTACCAGATTGACATACTTAATAAAACTTAATAAAGGCCAGAGTACACAACAGCAAACAATGTTATTCTTTTACTGTTTTTATAAAAGAAAACATTATAAACCAATGCTCACAATAAAAAAATCATTAACAAAATAGAATTTGAGAAATGAGTATCTTAGCCTTTCCTATATTTAATGTTAATCCACAGATGTAATAATTTTATCAATTTTTATTCTCCAAAGATTTTCCACTTATAATGAAAAGTATGCTGGACTAATAACAGCTCAGATTGAGGAACCCAGAGAGCTGAGTTTGAGTTCCAGTCAAGTTCATTACATTCACTTATGTGCTAGTACCTTAGTAGCTTTAAAAACAAATCCACCTCTTAGAGGGGTACAGGGTAGCTTCAACACCCCCAGTGGAAAAGGAACCAGCAAACCATTGCACTATTCTACCTTTGAATGTCACTATGATCCACAATTGTGAGATGGAGGGGAATGAGGACCACAGTGGTGAAAATGTGCTAACTAAATAAAATGAATGAATGAAAAGCATTTACTATTTTTAGCTATGTGCTTTCGTTTTAAGTTAACAAAAACAAATTTAAACATTATTTCTATTTATATATATTTTAAAATAAACCGTATTTGTAAAATAAAGAAAAAAGAAATAAACAAACAAGTCTTGCAAAATATTTAAGCAGATAATAAATGCCCAAGTGTTGAATTAATGACATTGATTAAGTCATTATTCTGAGCTCATGGCCCAGCAAGTAAAAAACTATGGTAGAACGTACACAGGTATGAACAATAAAAAATAAATTAATTTACACACAGCAATTTATTTCCTGCATTCTTTTTTTAATCTACATTGCTCTCAGTAGGTTCCTGCGTTTATGCTATCTACCATGAGTAAATCTAGAACATGACCAGTAATCAGTGTAGATTTTATTGTGATGTTATCTCCCTTGGAAGCAACAGTCGTGCATCGACTTATGTTCATCATTATTTCATATCAATGGAAATTTTTTAAAACAAATTTCTTTTGCAAAGGATTTAAAAAGTAGGTATAAATTAAAATAGGTATATATATTTAAAATTCAAAAAAGCTCTGAATATAAAAAAAATTAAAATTTTAATATAATTAATTTTTTAAAAATATATAGCAAAAAAAAAAAAAAAAATCAATATTTTAAAAAATCCAGTTAAAAAGGCAATTTACTTTTTCTACTTTTTCTGTTAGTTTAAATTACAATATAAAGATATCTTTTTTTCTAATAAAACAACAGACAAATCAAAAAGCAGCTTTGTTTCTGTGACTTTATATCACTGAAAAACATAGTTATAAAAAAATAAACTAACAAAGATAAATTGTTTTATTTTAGACAAATATCATTCAGGGACAGATATTATCTATATACATTTCTATTTTATTACTTCAAATGTTATATATTTTAGTGGATACCCTATTTGAAATAGATGCTCTGTTTTTATTTTAAACCCTATCTATGCAGCCTGTTTAAAATAAAAATGGTGCTTCTATTTCAAACACCTGGTATCCACTAAAAAAAATAGCATTTGAAGTAATAAAAATATCAGATTAAAAATAAATCCATTAATTTTTTAAAAATATCTATCTATCTGCCTCTTGGTTTATCTATCTGTCTATCTATACTGGTACAGAATTCTATCTCTAATTTAATAACTACAAGAAAACTATCAACAAAAAAAAATCATTTTCACTCTAGCTATACATTTCAACTGGACAATAATATTGATAACATTAGATGTAATCATGGCTAGGACCAGCTATGCCACTTACATAGTAACAAATCATCCTCATTCCCTCTGTATTCCACCAGCGACGAGTAAGTTCCACTCAAACAGCTTCTTCTCACAAACCACTGCCATGTGGAACAGACTCTCAAGAGGATGTTTCCCCAATCACTACAATCTTAACTTGTCCAAGTCTAGAGTCAACTATTATCTTCCCCTTCTATTCATGTAAACTATCCACTAACATAACCCTTTACCTCAGGTGAACCTTACTGTAAATAAAAAAAATAAC